AAAAAAAGGGGGGTAGAGGAAAAGAGAGGAACAAAGAAGGAGAGACGAACAAAGAAAGAGAGAAGAACGAAGAAAAAGAGAAAGGAATGGAGAGCGCAACAGGGGAGGGAAAAAAGGTTAGAAAGAACAAGACAGAGACGTCAAGAAATGAGAGGCATGGAGTGGGAGAGAAGAAGAGTAGGTGTAGTGGTGAAAGAAAGGACCCGTGATTATATTAACAGAGGAAGAGGTAAGTGTAAAACCAAGCAATAAGCAAGTGTTGACTGACTATAAAAGGTCCCATTTCAGTGGCATGTCTAACAAGTCGCTTGGGGCTTCTTTCCAAGTGACCCTTCAATAATATGATTACACAGAGTACACAATTGTAGTGACTGTGTAGATAAAGTGTTGTGTTTATTCATATATATCTAGCTCAGGTATCTAGAGGAAACACCTTGGTTGAAGGAGCCAGATCTCACAGTTTTAATTTGATAACTATGGCAACATCAAAATCCTGTGAAAAATGGGAGGAGAAAGCATTGTGTGAATAATTAAATGTATTCACGACTGATGGTGTGTCTGGTGCCAAAAGATTCCCTTTTGTCTAACCTTGATCCAAAAGGGTTTATCGTTTGAGTCTGAGGTGAGGTTAGATGATGCTCATTTGAGGTAGGACTTTTAATTGGGAATTATTTTTTTCTTCTACTCAGAGAGGTTAAAGTTCGAGGACATTTACCTAGACTACCTCCCTTCCCTCTTATTTGGACTGCAACAACATTGTGCTTTTCTTTAATTTTGTCATTTCTATTTTATTCTAGTTCGTTGTCACAAGTGTAGAGGGCTTGGCCACATACGTGCCCAATGCCCGACGAGACGTAGCCCGGTTGTGCCCCATCAGCAAGGAAACCAATCGACAGATCAAGAAAAGGAAGTCATAGTGAACGACTATCGTTTTGACGCTTCTCTTGACAATGCAAGATTTCACTAATAAGTTTAGGGAGTTATCTCACATTGCCAAGAAGTTCATTCTATATTTTAAATTAATAATCAATTGAAAAAAACCCACACGTGAAAGCCTCGTACAAACAAAAACATTTTCCGACACATACTTATACTTAGGTTATCTGTGAAGGTGTAGTCTGATCGTCCGGGTGAGTGTAGTCCTGAGAAGGACTGTTGTCGGTGGTAGTGACTGACGTTTCGACAACCTGTGCGGAAGTCATCATCAGAGTCAAGTGAATGATTGTTGTCAGTAGAATGTTCTTATTCCAGTTCGTGTGAAATGATCGGCTGGTTTTTGAAGCGAACTCCTCGGTTGATTTAGTTTAATCAGAACGATGAAACAGATCTACAGGATAAATTACAAAATCCAAACACTAAGTAATACGAACAATTAAGCTAAACGAAACACAACATCATAGACTTACGATAGTAAGCTCAATTCGCAAGATCTATTGAAGATGCACATGAGTTTTAGCGTCCGAAACGACCTCGCTGACTACCGC